ATATAATTGAACTTTTAATTACATCAATTAAATTTTTCAATTATATCAATTCCATTCTGTGATTATTCTTGAATGGTTTATATTGTTAAAAGACAAGATTTGGTTTTAATGAGAAGAATAAAGTAATCGAATATAATCCTAGTGATTCCCTTTCTTACTTTTGCAGATATATAAAGGAAATTTTACCTGTCCATAATGTTTCCGATTTTCTTCTTTTGATTCATAATCAAAAGCTTGCATTTTACCACTTCTTACCATTTGTATCCAATGAAATATATTCATTGCCGATGTGCGGTCTTGGTGCATAACATAAACCAATAAACGAGTCTATAGAATTTTGATAAATTTTATCTCTTCAATGAATATCAAGATAAAAAATTTCAAAAAATTCTTACAAGTAATTGAATTGAATTGTTTTCTCAACAATTAAAGTTTTCACCTCATTAATTTGATTGCTTTTAGGACCAGCAATTTGATAGAGTATACTATTACACAATGGATTGAAGATATGATATCCACAAATTATTGCACTAAATGCTTTTGACAGTTCATCATTCAGGACAAAATATTTCTGACCAAGAAGTGATTGTGCTATCTGAAAAAAAAGACAGAAACAACTGATCAAGAATTTAATTTAATTTTTCGATTTGACAACCATTTCACCTTGAAACGAAAAATCCAAGTGGCAAGGAAACGAAGCAATCCTCTAATATGGCCGACAGTTGCAATAGGTGCTAGTGCAAAGAATTTTCGAATCTAAAAATTCACTGTTTTAATGTCATAAATAATTCATAATTTCAGTTGGAAATTGATTTTTGCCGCTTTTACGAAGAATGATAACGATAATGAAGGAGTATACCTTGCACAAGTTTTGCGTAAACATGCGAACTGCAAAATATTATTAAAATAAATTTATTTGTAATTTAAATGCTGATGTGAATTTCGTCGTCAATTGAACAAATTGGGAAGTTCAGCTCTGAACAAATTATATCTTTGCATTATTATTCCAAATTTAATTTTCTAGCAAAAGCATCACTAGAAAATTACTAAATTATTAAAAATGAATTTTCACATAATTATATGAGGAAATGTGAATAGTCACTTCCCGAACTTTATTTTTATCATTAAACAATTGCACACTAAATACAGTTTGTTTGATTGACAACGAAATTCACATCAGCATTTAAATTACAAATAAATTTCTCTTGATAATATTTTACAGTCATTTTTTGATATCTTAACTAATTATTTGTGCTAAATTAAGTAAAAGCAAGTAGAACTGTTATCATTGGTAAAAGTTTTTAAATTAATTGTTAGCAAACCAAAACATTATAATTTGTTCAGAGCTGAACAGTGCATAAAATAAAGAAGAAACCTTCGATGCAAAGTTAGGATCCTGTGCAAGCTTTGAGAACATTATTAAAGTACCCTGAGAAAATCCGACATAGTATAAGTCACTACGCTTGGTTTCATTTAATACTAAAGCAATCATTGCGTCTAAATCATACTTCGCCATTTCATCCCAACTACAATACAATACTACCTTAAATCATCGATATCATGCAAAATTTAAAATATATAACACTGAAATCAACCATAGAATGAATTAGTACTCAATATAAATTTGGGAATTCTTTTGCGTTTACCTAAAATTCCAAAAACTATTTTCTCCAATAGCATATTTTACATGTTTTGCTGAATATGTATTTCCACGCGAATTACCAAGCCATACATCAAATCCAGCATCTGCCAAGATGAATGCTGAAAGTGGAAATCGATAATAAGCAGTTGAAGAAAAAAAAATGGTAATTTAGCCTACAACAATTTAATATATTAATTTAATGCAAATGGAATTTGCAACTGAAAACAAGCTTTCTAACAGAATAGGCAGAGAATTATCTGCTTGTTTGTAAGGTTGAAATATGAATAATTAATTGCATTTGAAGCTGAACAATAGAAGATTTTCAGTAGTTAATAGGTTATAATTAAGCCTGATTTTAGTTTCAGCTAACTGGAAGTTTTACCAAGGGATTCATTAGGAAAATTTGCTACCCAGTCGAAACTGGACCCTAGTAAACCATGTTGTAAGAAAACCACTGGGCATTTTCGAATGAAACCACAGTGATCTGGAAAGTTCATGTAAAAATATGTCAATTTTATCTTAATAAATACTAAAACAATATTGCACTATTCGTGATAATAACAAATTACCGCATATATTTGTTGTAATATGTGAAGTTTATCTTAATTAACACTAAACGATTTAAAATGATCGACGCATGGTGTAATAAAAGTAACAAGATTTTATTCTCTGCTTCATAATTTTTAGGAACACAAGAATTGGAATTATGGAATAGGCGAGATAAGAGAAAAATGTTCTAGTGTAAGAAAATTTTTGAATAAATTAAAATTTGTAGAGAACAAAAATTTTGAATTTGCTTACTTCTGTCAGATGGAATACGATGAACTTGTAAAACATAGCCATCTGCAGTATGTACCTCAAATACTTGTACAGGATATCCATAGTAAGTTATTATTTCGGTCTGAAAAAGAAAATTAATTATTAAAACGTATCCAAAATTAAAAAAATTAAATCGGTCACTTTTAAATTAATTATGAATAAAATTTGATTTGAACATTTAAAAAACATTCACATTTGTTGGTTTAAAAAATATGAAAATTAGCAACATTCTTATTCAAATTTAAAAAAAAAAGAATTTTCCTAAAATTTACTGCTGTGATTGAGCAACCGTTTTCGCTCATACAAATAAAATAATAAATATTATTTATGTGATATGCACAACAAAAATTAATTAAAAAATAAAAAGTATGGATGTGTTACAGAAATAAATTGCCAAAAGTATCGCATTAAAGTACTGCATATTATTATAAAACAAATTGTCCAATAGAATTTTGAATAAAAATTTTTTTAATTTTAAATGAAATATATTTTTGCACAATTCCAACGCTTTTTTTAAAAAACAAATGGAAGCAAACATACTGCTGTCATTTCTGCTTCAGGCGGAATGAACGCCTCGGAGCAATCGCATGTAACTATATTACAAAGCACTGTTATAAAGGCGATTGTGATAGTAATTGTATTCATAATAATAAATTAAATAATAAGCAAATTTATTCAATAGCCTTAATTTCGTCGAGAACGATCAAATTAACTGGAAAGAAATGAAAATTAGCAACAGACACTGCTGAAAGAAACGTCAGAGAGTGCAAAGCAGTTAGGAGGAAATCTTTTCGACGAAAAGTTCTTTAACAACTGACCTTCTGGCATGACTTCCATGTTCTGTTAGCCATGAAAAATTCAAAAATAATACTTCCTTATTTAATAATTATAATTTTGCTGTATTTTCTTTATTCACCTTACTTAAATCTATTGAAGGCAAATAATACCACTCTTGAAAGTAATGGTACTATTTGCATTCTAAGTAAAAATTAGAACTAGTATGAAAAAAGCAATTATGATAATTAAAGTGATATCATTTATACAGCTCAAATGTATAATATCTCATTAGCATATCGACAAGGCAAGTTATTGATCAAAAATATTTGTTAGATTTCAGTTCCATTTCGCGAGGCGATCCAAATGCTTATGGCTTCAAATGCTGACTGTTAATTATCTTATAGTATGAAAATTAAAAGCTTAAGCTTACACAAGCAGTCAGTCGTCTTTGAAAAAATTTCTGTAACTGTAAATCTTTTGGGTTGTGATGAATTGCAAAGCTTAGGAATGACACAAGACTGCGAATCGCTGTAAATTTACGTAGTAGGAGCAGATATAAATATCAATTGTTTGCGGCAGTTGGCTGATCTGAACTCGATATCAGCTCTGCCAAAAATGAAGCTTCTTTGCATTAAACTGTTCATATCGGTCATCTTTGGACTGCAATCGTGCAATAAAAAAAATTTGAAGTCATATAAAATGTTCCATACGCCTTCCAAAACAATGTCTCATATCATCTTTCAGCTCTAAATAACAGATGCAGGAATATAAGATCGACTTTGCATTTCCGAATGAACTATAATAATAAACACAAACTATATAATAATACGTTACGTGTGCTACCATGGTGTTATCAGCAGT